CGGAGAGCCCGGCAAGCTACCGAGAGTATTCGATATGCCAGACACAGTAACAACAAAGTCTCCAATGGAGACGTTACTGGGCCCGCTCGAGCAAATCGACGATCAACGGGAGGGCCTTTACCCTTTTACCTTTTACTCAAAAATATATATACGTAAATATACATTTAAGTTTTCAAAAGCCTATTGTAATCAGAGCAATGATTAAAATTATTTTATTAAATTGTAAATTAATAATTCAAATTAAAACAAAATGGAAAAAATAAAATGAGTAGCTAAATTAGCTTAATATTTATAATTCATGACTCTTACAATTCTCTATTCAAATTTATTTTATCAAGGATATTTTCTACAAAATCCTGTCTAAAATTATATCTTTAACACCCTATGTATGTTCTTTTTTTTATTTGCTTTTTGGGTCACACCCGGCGATGCACAGGTGTTACTCCTGGCTCTGCATTCAGGAGTTACTCCTGGCGGTGCTCAGGAGACCATATGGGATGCTGGGAATCCAAACCAGGTCAGCCGTGTGCAAGGCAAATGCCCTACCCACTGTGCTATCACTCCAGCCCCAAACACACTATGTATGTTCTTAATCTTTCTTCTCTATCTTGTTATACTTATGTAAGACATATTAAAAAATACTTGTGTTTATGAACAAAGAAAATATACCACAGAGTAAAAATGAAAGTATATATGAATGCATATAAGGAAATGATGTGTAAATTAAGAAGAGTTTTAATTCTTACGTTAGTACATCTAGGAATATTCTTCTCAATATTGAGCTTGTTTATTTCTGTATAGCTTTCTTTTTGTTTTGGGGTGGGGCATACTCAGTTGTGCTCAGTGCTGACTCCTGGCTCTGCACTCAGGGATATTACTTCTGGCTGGGCTTAGAAGAATATATGGAATATCAGGGATCAAACCTGGATTGGCCTCTTTCAAGATAAGCATCCTATTCTCTATTCTATCTCTCCTTCCCCATATCTGTATTTATGAGGCTAAGTTTTTGAAGTCTTTTCAGGCATATTGGGCTCTTTGACATGAAATATCAGAAGTTTGATTTTTGAACCATATTTATTTATAACTAAAATCTGAATTTTTGATGAGTAGAAATCATTTTATATACAAAAATTTATATTACTCAGTTTTGGCATCTGTAAAAACATGATAACTATCTAGTTTAGAAAGTGCACAAAAATATGTTATAAGAATCAAACTTTACTGTCAAAGCAGTAATCTTTGAGCAGTGCTACATGTATTTTTTAATTTTCCATCATAGTAATCTTTACATAAATGATATCTCAGAGTTGGAAACATCGTAAAACAGGTAAGGTGCTTGCACTGCATGTAGCCGAGCTGAGTTCAATCCCTGACACCACATATGATCTCCCAATCTTTTGATTCCTGAGCCAGAACAGGAAGTCCTGAGCCCTGTAGGCTGTGACAACACCCTCCCCAACAAAAGAAATGACATTTCAAATAAACCTATTAATAAACATATTATAAGTAACCAGATAAAAGTTACAGAGATTGTCCTGATCCACACACAAGGTTTAGTCATTCAGAACACCCTGGGGTGTTGCAGATGAGCACTTCACCCACCCAAATAGAGTCCCCGCCACCAAAATCCTCCAAACTGCAAAATCACCATTATGCTCCCAGTCGAACCATACTGCTTTGCTCAGGACCACTCTGATACAGAAATTAATCTGTTTAAAAACTCAAGTATGCAGGTTTTGTGACTGATATCTCCAGGTTTTCTTGGGGGGATGGGCTACCTCTCCACATTTCTATGTGCTTCCAGCAGCCCCGGTAGTCCATGCCCCAAAGTTGCAACCCAGTTAAAAATATAACTCTAGCTGTATCATTCCATTAAAATTTTTTTGACTTCCTGAAACAATGTCTCAAATTCTACAACACTGATAAATCAGGAGTAGCATAGTAGATTGGATGGGATGTAATATAGAAGGCAACCAACCTGGATTGACAAAATATAAATGCAAAGACTTAACCTATGACAACATTTTAGTAATCTCCTATATGAGGGCTTAATAGCTCCATGATAAGATTCAACAATCTTCACTTTCTTCTAAAAGAAAATTTTTTTTATTACTCTTATCAAACTGGGCCTGCTCGAGCAAATCAACAAACAACGGGAGGACAATGCTACAGTGCTACAGTGCTTATAAAATTTTTTATAACAAGCAATATAAAATCAATTATTGAGGCCCTGCTATGGGGACAGGTTTAAGAGGTGGTTGGAAAAATTGGAGAAAATGGTGGTGGGAAGGTGCAATGGTGGTGGGATTGTTGTAATATTGAATGTAACAAATCATTACAACTTTATAAACCACAGTGATTATGTAAAGGATAAAGGAAAAATATAAGTAAAAAATAACAATCAGGCGCATTTTTAATTTAAAATATACAAATTTGTCACTAGAGAGATAATATAGTGAGTAGGGTGTTTGCCTTGCTTTGCCTACATGGGAATCAATTACTCATATGGTTCCCTGAACATCACAAGAAGTGAAACCTGAGTGTAGGGCCAGGAGTAACCCCTGAGCATTGCCAGCTTGTGGCCCAATAAGTGAAAAAAAAATTAAAAAGATTATACAAATCAACATAGATACAATTCACTATATATGTATTTACAATTATATATTCACAATATATATGTATGTATTTATAATATATGTTCATAATAGCACCTAATCTTATGGAAAATTTAGTGAACTATGATTATAATTTCTCATAGAATCTGACATAGAAAATATATCTTAAGAAATGTTTTCTAGAAATATAGTATATCACCAATTTATATCTATTGACAGATTGATAATTAATACATTTAAAATATTGAAAAACTATAATCATATAAACTATTCACCTTAATGAAAAAATAAAACAAAAATTCACTTGAGAATAGATAATAAAAAGCTATATTATGTATGAATGCAGTTTGCCCAATCAGATTGGCTATAAAATGGTATGTTGTGCTAATAGAATAAATCAAACTGAAAGAATAAACAAGTTAAAATTTTTTATTGACAGTAAAGTATACTCAAGATGTGCTTGATAAGGAAATAGTCTAAAATGGCCTGTTGTCTGTCGTCTACAAGCGGTTCACTTGAGTCATCCTGAATAGGATTGGCAGAACACTAGATGAAGAACAACCATGCAAGCAAGCTGGTTTCCGAAAAGGATTCAGCACAATTGACCATAACCATAATAAGCAAGCTCATTGAGGTTTCTTGGGAGTTCAAGAAAGATGCTGCTCTATCTAACGTTCATTGATTTGAAGAAGGCCTTTGATTCTGTTGAGACTCAAGTGGTCATCGAAACCTTAGCCAAAGAGCGCATTCAAACTCAATACATCAGGATCCTCCATGAGCTGTATTCCAGATTCATGACCAGGATCTCACCATTCTACAGGGAGTGATCATTGATGTCAACAAAGGGGTTTGGCAGGGTGATACCATTTCACCAAAACTCTTCAGTGCCACCCTCAAGAACATCATACGTGACTGGAATGGGAACGAATGGGAGTGAAGATAGACGATTGGGAACTACACCACTTCCACTTCACTGATGACATCGTTCTAATAACACCAAACATCGTCCAAGCGGCACAAATGCTGGCCAACTTCAACCGTGAGTATGGAAAGGCCGGACTACAGCTGAATCTCACAAGATAATGTTTATGAGAAACGGTCTCCTTCCTGACATCCCATTCACTCTCAACAGGATGAACATCTCCGAATGTAACAGTTATGTGTACCTTGGTTGAGAAGTCAACATGACAAATGACCTGGCACCTGAGTTGGCAGGAGCAAGTGAGCGGCTTGGAACGCCTTCAAGAGCGTCAAAGAAGAGCTAAGAGGACAAAAAATCTCTGGCTCGGGGCACATCTCTTCGATTCCACTGTTCTTCGTGCATTAACATACACGTCAGAGAACTGGGCCCCACGAAAACAGGATGAGAACACTATTCGGGTCTCCCAAAGAAGAACCGAAAGAGCTATGCTTGGAGTATCATGCTTCACTCAAATGAGAGAAAGAATCTGGAGTTCAGAACTCTGTTGACTATCAAGAATCTGGGATGCTGTCTCATTTGCCATGGCGTCGAAAATCAGATGGGTTGGACACGTAATGAGATTTGGAGGCTACTGCTGAACTAGAGTCATTACCGAATAGATTCCCCTGGACGTCAAAAGATTGTGTAGCCGCCAACCTATGAGATGATCTGTCTTCTTCGTCAAGACCCTGAATGATTGGTTTGAGGCTGTTCGTGTTCCTAGGAAGAGCAAAAGGCTCTGGGCTACACTAGCACACAACAGGGACAAATGGAGACATTACTGGTGCTTGCTCTAGCAAATTGATAAGTAACAGGATGTCAGGTGATTTTGAAATGTTTATAATATGAACAATAATTTTTGAAAGCATGAATCTTACAATGTTTTAAAATTATATTTATTTTTATAGGAATATTAAGATTTACCTAATCTTTTACTCTGGGCTCTGTACTCAGGCATCACTCCTGGTGTGCTTAGAGGACCATTTGGCATGCTGGAATTGATTCTGATCAGCCAGTGAAAGGCAAGTACTCTATGTATCCTACCTGCTATGCTATCACTCAACCCTCCATCCTATTACTTTAGTAAAGGTGAGTGAATCAGTTGAAAAGTTAGGTAAAATATAAAACACTGGAATTTAAACATTTGAGAATACTGTATTTTTTTGTTGTTGTTGTTGTTGTGGGGAAGGGGATGAACTGTTAAACCAATGCATAGAAATTCAGAATTAAAGTCATCACTTATGAATGGTAACCAACATAAAGGAAAAAAAATAACACCCTAATATTAAAGAGTAAATTTTATTTTTGGGAAAAACGAGATAAAATTCTATAAAATACCTGGAAGGTATGGTTTCTACTTATTTGCTGTTCTGCGTAACGCAAAGTGGAAAACAAAGATTAAAATGGGACAAGACAATACTCACTCTTGTTGTGTAAGCAGCTTCTGGATCATCTTCTAAAACACGTGAAAGTCCAAAATCAGAAACCTTACACACCAAATTACTGTTGATTAAGATGTTCCTTGCTGCGAGGTCCCGGTGAACGTAGCCCATATCAGAGAGATACTTCATGCCAGATGCTATCCCTCGAAGCATTCCTACGAGCTGGATGACTGTAAACTGCGCGTCATGTTTCTGAGAAGCATGTAACAAAGGTAACAAATCATGTAACATGTAACATGTAACAAATCATTAGGGACAACTTTGTGAACAAGGTAAGCTTGTTCTTTCCTAAAGCTGTAACGAGCTCACTAGCTCACATACCAAAGAGTAAACTGTTTTCCGTTTTAGTTCTAAGACGTTCCACCAAATAAAATTATGAAATAAAAGGCTACCAAATGGCAAAACAGAATATCACAGTAGCTATATCACCAAATGTTTAGTAATAAAAAGTTATATTATTTGAAATCAGGGTGAAAATTAGGACTTTATTTTTTACAATGTCACATACAAACTTCTCAGAAAATTTAAAGTCAGGAACAAAAAAATTAAATAATAAAATAGTTATAATTTATTTATGGAGGGTAATTCTTTCGTGATTTCCATATACTTTATTAATTGCTTTAAAAGAGTTGTTAAATTCAATGAATATTACAAGTAACTAATTTCAAATTAAAAACTATAACTAAAGATTTGTTATTCTATTAAACCTTTAACTACAGGTAGTAAAATTAAAAGTATTAATATACAAAATTGAAGGGATCAAAATTTAGAAAAAATTATTTACTTGTTTTATAATAGAAATATATTATTTATATACTTGACAGATTGATATATGCATAAATATTTAGTCATAAATATATATTTATACATAGAATAGGTACATGTAGAAATATAAAATTCTATATCTAGCTCTACCAATACTAAGAGATTTTTTTCCACGGGGGCAGTGGGTTGGTTACATCCAGTAGTTCTCAGGGCTTACTTCTTTCTCTGTGCTCAGAGAGCACTCTTAGCAGTGCACAGAAGATTATCAGGTGTGCCAGGGATTAACCCTGTTTGGCCATGTATCAGATGTATCAGGCAAATGTCCTACCTTTTATCCTATCTCTATTTTAAAATGAATTTAAAATGTATTTGTTATAATGTTTTAATTACCTGTTTTGGAAAGTGTTGGCTTTTGACAGTTTGTGAAAATAATTTCCTCTAAAATTTGTATTTGAAACATGAACATTAAAATAAAGAACATAGCTACACCTGTGGTTCAGTGACAAAGTGCATGCCTTGCTGGCTCAAGACCTGGATTTCAATTAAAATAATACACAATACAGACACACACACACACACACACAGAGGAATAAAATGTCTCACTAATAGAAAATTTAGAATTTTGGCCCATGATTGTAAACTGTGCTACTGTGCTATAGATCTCCCCTATATTTCTCTGTTTCAACCTGTATGTCTATTATCTGCCATAGTACCTATCAGTATGAACACAGGGCAAAAAGAACTACGACACATAGTTCTATGTCCTTTTTTTCTCCTGTAGCAACTTGTGATTGTCAGTGTTTATTCTACAAAATGTTTTAGTTCTTGAAAATACTTATTAAAATAATTGAAAACTGACATTTCAAGGGCTGGAGCAATAGCACAGCAGTAGGGCATTTGCCATGCAAGCGACCAACATGGCAGACCCAAGTTCAATTTCTCTGCCCCTCTCAGAGAGCCTGGCAAGCTACCAAAAATATCTTGCCCGCACGGCAAAGCCTGGCAAGCTACCCATGACGTATTTGATATGCCAAACACAGTAACAATTGTCACACTGGAGACGTTACTGGGCCCCCTCGAGCAAATCGATGAACAACAGGAGGACAGTGACAGTGACATTTCAAGATTTAAATAACTATATGCATATATAGTTATATCACAAAATGATTTAAAGTGAGAAAATTTTGGTATTACATAGCACAGGCTATTTTCTGAATATACAGTTCTATGCAATAGATGTTCTATCTTTTATCAATAGAATGATCTATATCAATATAATTCATATTTGGGGCTGGAGCGATAGCACAGCAGGTAGGGCATTTGCCTTGCACGCGGTCAACCTGGGGTTCAATTCCCAGCATTCCATATGGTCCCCCGAGCACCGCCAGGAGTGATTCCTGGGTGAGACCCAGGAGTGATTCTCTTGCATCGCCAGGTGTGACCACCCCCCAAAAAATGATATATATTATTCATATTTACTTTGTAATTTTATCATTTATTTCTTTGCAGATGTAACTCTTTAATTACAAGTAAGGTTAAAGAAAACTGCATAATTTTGTTTATAAAATATGAGACAGACATTTGAATATTATAAATAAGAATCCCATATATCCTATCTTGCTATCCAGTACATTTCAATCTTGATTTAAACTTAATTTTTAAAAATTGCTTTAAACTTAATTTTTAAAAAATTCTTAATTTTTAAAAACATTATTGTTATTACCAAAAATTATAGTAATTCAGTTTCTATCTAAATGCACAGACACATACATAAATAAATGTATGAACATATAAAATTATCCACTTACACGTAAGAAACTGTCCAAGGAACCATTTTCCATGTACTCTGTGACAATCATCACTGGTTTACCTATATAATGTGAAATATAATCATGAATCATTGTCATATATTAACTAATAGTTTTTATCTATACACTTATTTGTAGAGGTATTTGCCAGGTGTTTTCTTTGGCAGAAAGTAAATCAAAGTCTCTACCTCCAAGGGTTATGCATAGACATTTTAGAAAGCAGGTAAGAATAATAATTATGTATCATAGTAAAAATATGATATGGTTTATATAGTAAAAATATATTGATGTTTATTTAAATGAAAAAGTCACTGTTGGCGGCACTTATAATAACCATTTAGATATATGTGAACTTAAAATAAGTAAATGTGATATGTGTCAGTCAAATTTATGCATAAAACTTATTAATTATAATTATTTCCATTTTACACGGGAAAAATCTGATATGTACAGTGGTTACTATAAATTAAATTGTCCAATATCACCCAACTTTTAAATTATAAAGCATATTCTGCATCTTGAAAGCACTGTGATGCATTTTTTTTGCTGTTGATTATCTTGTTAGAAACATTTAAAATATAAAAAAAACATTAGGCACAAAGGTTCTAAGTATTCTGATATATGGATTTAGAAATAGAACAAATGTTTAATGATAAGCAATTGTTTGGACAATTGCTGAATATCAATTCTATGAGCTATTCTGAATTATAATAGTGTTGAGTGTGGGCAGGACTTTAGACAATTTTTGCAGTGTAATGTTCTGTGGACAATGTTTAAAATATAACTTTATATACTTTCAAAAAATAAGTGGAAGTAATTTCAAAGTCATTCATTTAAAACCATAATATATTTCAAATCTAAAAAATAATACTAAAAATGTGTATTTTATTAGTTTGTGGTAACATTACTAAATGTTTTCCATATAGGTTTATGTGACATTATTTTAGGGTTGACATATTTCACATAGTTTCATTGCTCATCATTACTTATGTTTTAGTAATCCTTATTAATTTTATTTGAGTGTTTCCTCAATATTTCCTTAGTGTTTCAGCATTTTCTGACTATGGATCCAAGAAGCTTGATGAAATTATAAAATAAGTAAGGATTTGAGAAGATCTTCAACATGGCTGTTACTGATTTTAATCTCTACATAGTCTAAAACCAATTCTCTTTATTATTGTTATAACATTTTATTTATAAATCTATAATCGACAACTTAAAATATAGCTCCTCTTCCAAATATGGGAGATCTGTGTTAAGTATTGTTCAAAAGGCTGGAGAGAAATGCCTGGTTTGCCACATCTGCCCACCATCTACTCAAGTTGTCACGTGGCCACAATCCAGAGACACACAAATGAATCTCGGAAACAAGCAACTTTTGGCAGAGATGGCTTGGGACTTTGCAAGAGACCTTCTCCAATGGGCTGTTCCAGATGAGGGCAGGTGTTGTCCCTCTGCCTGCTCTTTAAGAGCTTCAGTGGTCGCCATTTTCTAGAAGCCAGCAAGAAGCACCAGGTATGAGTCATGGTGATGGTAAATCCCAAGTCTTTCAGGACAGGGGAGGAATGCACCTTCCTTCCCCCCACCCTGATGGGATGCTAAGATGATGCCACATCTGCCCACCATCTACTTAAGCTTTCACGTGGCCACGATTCAGAGACACACAAACGAATTTCAGACCCGAGCAACTTGCGGCAGCAATTTTTCAGACCCAATTATTAAAATCTTAGAATTCCTAGCATTTGTGGCCGCTGTTTGACATTAGGTGTAAAAAGTAGTACAAAACACATTGTATAGCAATTGTGTTTTCAGCAGGTCATGGTCACTGTCCTCCCGTTGTCCATCTAAGATTTGATACTGGGGGGATACTGGGGATTTTGGTGGTAGAAAACGTGCACTGGTGAAGGGATGGGTGTTTGATGACCTTATGATTGAAGTTTAAACATGAAATTGTTGTTACTGTACCTCATGGTCAATTAATTAATAAAAAATAATAAAAGAAAAAACCTTGTATTTAATCCTTCCTCCACTTGTTCTGTGCAACACTGGTTACAGCTCTGGAGGTCTTGTGTACCACTGGCTTAACAAAAGTAATCTCCCCTACCAAGGAACCTGAGAAGCTGAGCATTCCTGGGCCCTTGCATTCAATTATAGGTCCTGCAGGCAATATTGGTTGGGAGATCCAGCAATAAACCAACCAAACAGCAAACAAAACTTACTATAGTTAGTTAATAGTTAAAAATATCACAAGGTATGTGTCTTATTTGTTAGGAAGTGAAAAACCTAATTGAATTTTATGAAGGGTTCAAATTATATCATCATATTCATATATCTATATAATCTAGCCTGAAAAATGTTTTTGTGCCAAAGCCTAAAATCTCTAAAATTTACTTGTTCAAAATTCTATGTATATTTGATTTGATAGCATTTATGAAAAACAGAAAATTTCAACATTTCTTTGTAAAACTCAAGCTCAAATGAGCTGATATATCAAGTGCCTACAGTGTGATTCTAGACAATTGACCTAAATAATAAATAAATAATAAAATGCAAATGGTAGAATGGTTAAATAAAATCCTGAATTTTCATGCTCTCTGTAAATCATTAATTTCTCTGCATTTTTATTAACACTTTTCTAGAAATAAAATTATTCTCAAAATTCAATGTATCCCTTAAATGTAGTCAAAAATACTTTGCATCACACAGCCACTTTTAATTACAGTGGCCAATTGCTCGTTTGTGCATTACCTAACCTTTGCTTATCATTCCTTTCCTTCTGGCTCCCAGCCTTATGACCATTTCATTTCTCATTAGCATGTATAGTAGAATGTTTGGCTAGGGAAATAAAAGTAGCTGAGAAATCAAACCAGTCAATTAAGCCAAAACCCCATGACCATTCAGAAATCAGATCAGGCTGCATTTAAGTATAATTTTGGTATTTATAAACACATCAATTAAGATGGGCAAGACTGACCATGTGCTTTGCATTAACTTCAAAGCTTTAGCAAACCCAAGTGTACAGACACAGAGTAAACAGAATCACAAATAGTCTACCTTAGAAAACAATACCTTTTTTTTCATAATCAAAATCACAAGGGTTAAAGAAAATGAAAAACCTGCACTAGTAATGAAAAACTAGTTCCAACATGTATTAAATGCAGTTTGAAATTATTTCACAAAATTCATTCTCATCTGCACATGATTCAGTATATCTCCAAATTTGCATGCTTTGTTAGTGGAATTTTATTTTAAAAAGATTTTATTACCTACCTTAGAAAAGATATTGCTTATATCATGCATGCCCTCAAAAATCTTGAAACAATACTGAATGTACACATAAAAATAAATCATTATTACTCCGTGTCTAGCTAAAATAAGACTCCATTAAAAATGAGAAAAACAATTTATAACCAAATAATTTCATTCTTAAGTCACTTATTAGTATAGACAAAATTGTGATATTTCATCGTTAAGGGTTAAGAACAAATAAGTTTGATGCAATAGTTCATTGTCCCATCTATAACTGGAAGCTTACAAATTTTACTAATCATTGAACCACTGCTAGAAGATAGAAGAAAAATGGTTCAATTTATTTATTTTCTTGTCTAATTTTAATTTATTTTTTTACCTTGTGAGATGAAAACCCTTAGTAAAATTTAATAGAGATGATTTCAAACATATTGTTTCTATTTAAAATAGAATGTTTCCAATGTTACACTATGTAACATGTACAGGTAATATGTACCAGGGTTATGTAATATGTACAGGTTTGAGGATGATTTTTGGTATTGCATTGTCAGTGTTTATTTTTAAGAGTCAGGTATCTATATTTTTCATGTATGATATACTAAAGCAAGTTTATATTCTGTGCATTTTTTTCTTACAAATTTTTGAATGACAAAATATTAAGCCAATATGAATTCTTAACATAAGCTAAATTTATGAATGACAACGAAATGCTACATATTACTAGCTATGATTTCATAATGACATATATTCCTAAATTTTTGTTCATGTGTTACACCGACACACTATATTCCTTTGAAAATATTTTTTCCTGACTGGTACTATTATATCACATTTTTGAAAGATAGGGATAATTTCTTTTTGCTCTTATTCAGACATATTTTTTTAAAAGTTTCTATTTCATCTTCCTTCAGTTATAGTATACTTAGTATTGCATTCATAGAAAGAAGTCTTTGGGTTCTTACAATTCATACTCTAATCAATTTTGCAATACAAATTAAATCTTGAAAAATTATTAATAAATCACTGGGTAAATTTCAGAACAAGTAATTTTATAATTCAAATATGTCTAATTCAATCAAGAGAAATAAAAGAGCAACCTTGAAAAAAAGAAATTTCAGCGCCTGAAAGATAATACAGAGGTTAAGCATTTGCCTCTTATGTGGCAAGCCCCGGTTCGATCCCTGGCACTATGTATAGTCCCCAGAGGACCATGAGGCGTGATTCCTGAGCATAGAATATGATAAGTTCTTAGTACATCTGAGTGCTACTCAACTACTCCTCAACCCAAGGAAAACCTTTAAATATTTACACTGACTTATTTTCCCCCAGTATTTTGATTGGGAGTTTTCTTAATTTTATAGATATTGCAAGTGAGTAGGTTATGTTCTGAACACATATATAAAAGTATGGTAATTGATAAAAAATAGATGTATACATTAGCCTTTCTAAACTATTTCTGTAAAATAGTTAAGAGTGGGGCATAATACTACAAGACAGGACACAATGCACTTTTAAAAATGGGAATAGCAAAAATTTTTAATCATTGTTAAAGAATGACATCTTATACTATCAACATTTTGTCACCATATGTATAGAAAAAGGAGGGTACAAACAATTGAATCAAATAACTAAGCTTTTGGAATAAAGTAGACATTAAAAGTGTAGATTATAAAAAATTATTTTACTGTTCTGGGTATAATATTCTTCAATAATTCAAGGTTATAACACAGGGCATTGTTACTTTTTAATTTTCAGAAAATAGTCCCCCCTCATATAACAACAAAAAATACAACAACCTCATCCATTATAACTTCTTTTTCACTAGGGGAAAAGTGACCAAAGGAAAAACTTGTTGAGTTTGAATAGCAGTTGACTAATGGTGTGATGACAGAAATAGCAAACATTTGCTAAAATCAAGTTCCATCTTTTTGAACTTCAACTAAAATTGATAACACATGTTAATACTGAGTTCTGTGTGGAGATGTTGCCTCCAGCTTTCTGCTACTTTGAAGATCAGAGACTCTCTCACCTTCTCTTGTTTAAGACTATCAGACCCAAGACATACCATTACAACTGTTTATGGCTCAATTCAAATAAGTGAAAATATAAAGACTGAATAAAACTTTTCTCTAAAACACTTCTAAAATGATATATTATAATAGACCTAGTAATTCAAAGCACATAATTAATAGCAGAAGTAAAAATGCTTATTTTTAGCAAGGGACTGATTTGAAGAATTCTATTATATACTTCCAGAGTAATCGCTAAAATCTAAAACTCGACCAGAAGTGATAACTTATGTTTGCAAGGGTCAATTCTACTAAATTTATCCAATTTTTAAAATATCTGGAAATGATAAGTAATAATTACACTTTCATGCTACAAATATAGGATGCAGGTCTCTGAATGGTTAGACTTAATGAGATTTCAGAACTAGTGAGTTAAGTTAAAAATTGAACTTTAAAACTATTTATTAATCCTTAAAATTATACCCTAATTTCCCCTCCTTAAGTATAGTTTCTTCATTAACTTATGAGATTATTTTCTCTGTCTAGTTGTATGTTTCTGAATTTTTGTAGGTCAACTGTTTTAAGTCATATATTCTCAGGGAGCAAATTCAAGAATAGGAGTATGCTACACAATTAACTCTGGTGAGAAATTATTTTACCTATAAGTTAAATGAAACATATTTACTTCATTATGATGTATTTTTGTTTCCTTTTAGATGTAATATTTCTCAGAGCTTTTAAATATACAGCTAAAGGAATTCAAAATATATTCTAAATCTGTTACTCAATTTATATATATAATATGAAAGGATTGGGATTTTTATACTCAAAAATGTCAGACACTTAGATGATTACTTAACCAAGATGATATATGAATTTTCAAGCTCTCACTTTAAGAATAAGGCAGTACTCATTACCCACATTAGAATATTACAGACTAAGTCTTAACTAAACATTAAATATGTTAATGTACATACCTGAAATTTTTTTTATTAAAAAAATTTTTAATAGTGAGACATCATGAGGTACAGTTGCAGACTTACACATTTTTGTGCTTGGGTTTCAATTATACAATGATCAAATACCCAAAATTTTTACAAATTTTTAGTGGGTGTTTTTGCTTGCTTACTAGTTCTGGAATCATTGTATGGACTTCTTTGATAGGCAACCATAATTTTGTACTTTGAGAATTGAATTTTCATTGCAAATAGAATGTGTGACAATTACTATGATTCACTGTAGTTTATCATTTATTTAGGCTATCAGTAAGCTTAAATATTATTGTAATATTTAGTTTGCTAGTGACTTTTCTCTTTCTCTCCCACTATCCCTCCTCCTGTCTCCTCTTTCAGTTATAGGTTTTGGTAAAAAAAAAAATTAGCTAATGTTTCTACCTATGTTAAAATGTAATTGTTTTTTTCAAACACTGGCTGAATTATGCAAGAATTTACACAACTGCACTGTTTTGAAAATGTGTTCAATTTAATGAGCCAACACTGAAGAAATAACTAGTAATCAAAGAAACTGTTCTTTGATTTAATGGTTAATCTTTCCTCCTTTAACATTGTTAAATTACGTAACTACTAAGATCCAAGTTTGATTTTAATTACTGATTACTGAGTAATTTCTGGCATTTTATAAGAATTTGAGGAATTACTGTAAAATATTTTTAAATGAAGATACAAGGAATAATTAAAAATTAAAATAATAAAGGAGGAAACTTTGTTTTAAGGAGCACAACCCAGCAACTCTCAGGGCTTACTTCTTATTTTGTGCTCAGGGATCACTACTAGTGGGTCTTGGGAGAATATATGGGGTGCTGAGGATACAACCCAGATTGGCTGCATGCAGGGCAAGTATTTACCAGCTGTATTATCACTCCATATATAAGAAAACTTTTTTTTTAAAAAAACTCCACAGTTGAGGAAAGAAATAAAATCATTAGAATACTTACTGTCTTTAGCTAATTTCTAGTTAGAATACTTTGTTCATTACAGCTACCATAGGTTTAAAAACGAATGCAATGATCATATCTAAGTCATTAGAATAAAATAATATGCATTGTGCAAAGAAAATATAAAAGAAGCACTTCATTAAGACAAACTTGTGAAAAATTCCGAGTTAGAAGAGGGATTGCTACATAGGTAGAAATGACATTTTACTCCCAGTAGGGCTGATATCTGAAAGACAACTACTTGGGGGATGTTACAATGAAATAAATACTAATTGAATATTAAACATAGAAAGGTGTATTTCTAAAATCTTTAGGTCATGTAAATTCTTCCCAAAGAAAAAAGGGTTCCAAATCCTTATTGCTATGATAAATATGTAAAGTAAAAAAAATTATCAGAAAAAAATTTATTATTACTATTAGTATAATATAATTTTTTAAGAGTAGAAAGAGAAACAAATTGTTTTTACAGTAGTATCATTTTACAATATAAGACTAAGTTCTTCCACAGCGTTAAATTCTTGATCCCAAATATTATCTATGAAGCCCCTAGTGGAAATCAAAGTATGTTTCAATTATGCTAAGGTCTTGTGGGAGAAGAATTGTCTTTTTAGTCACACTAAAATGAGAATAGGTATTGGTGCCATTTGGAAAGTGTTCCATGTAATGTTAAAAAAAATCATTGTGAAAAATATAATGTGTAATGTCTGTTGGTAACCATAGAATATGTAAATGTGGTGCCAATGAATTATTCCCCAAAGGATGCCAAGTTCTCTGCCATATGTTGTCTTTCACTCCAAGGAGTTGGCTGCCAATTCGCCAATTTAGCTTATTCTTCACCCTGTGGTCCAAAATCTTGAAGAACACACACACACACACACACACACACACACACACACACACACACACATACACCAGCACATTCTCAAGAGGTTTTTGTTGGGACTGGAGCCAAAAATCACATATCAACCTCATGGGCTCCCTATTGAGCCTATCTGGAGAAGCCATCATGGAAATAAGTTCAGATTTCTATCACAGCTTGTGAGCTGTGCTTTCCTAAACCAGTTGAAAACCCATCTGGGAACCCAGAGCAGAGTTATTTGAAATCCACAGAGAACTGAGAAAAGGCCTTGGGTCTACTGTGGTCCCAAATTCACAGTTCAGAAGCATGTCCCAAAATGCCAATAATTTTGCTAAAGTCAGCGGGGGTAAAGACTTAGAAGCGTAAATAAAGCTTGTGAAAAAATAAAAGGGACCTGAGCTAGCTGGGAGTTCCCAGCAGCTCCTATCAAAATTGAGTCATTGTTTTCTCTGACTATGTAACAGAAAGTTCTCTAAAATTATATTTTCGGTTACCTAGTATCAACATATCTTAAGGTCCAATACCTTGTTCCTAATTTCTATAAGGTTTCTTTTTTGCTTAGATCTAGAATAGCATTATCAAAATTCTTAGTTTTTGTTTCATTCTCAAGGAAAATGATGTTAACTGTGAATGGGCATTTTTTTCTAGTACTGACTAAAAGAGTTGAAACATTTTATTTATTTATTTATTTATGGGTTTTTGGGGTCATACTCGAAGATGTTCAGGGTTTACTCCTGGCTCTGCACTCAAAAATTATTCCTGGCGGTGCTTGGGGGACCATATGTGACACCAGGATTGAATCCAGGTCAGTCGTGTACAAGATAAACACCCTACCCACTGTGCTATTGCTCCAGCCTTGAGTGGAAACATTTTAAAGAATAATTTTAGGTTTAAGCACTCTCAGTTCAACATACCCAAAAGTCAGTCTTGCCCTTTGACTTACTTTTAGTCACAACTCCTTCTAGTCGAATGATATTAGGATGGTCAAATTGTCCCATAATGCTGGCTTCTCCAAGGAAGTCTCTCCTCTGTTTGTCTGTGTAGCCCACTTTTAGGGTCTTGATGGCCACTGAAATCTCTTTTTTTGAAGGAAGTTTTAAGCGACCACTACATACCTCTCCAAATTCACCTGTTAAAATGAAAAATAGCACAACCAAAGGTTAGGAGCTATATGATAAAATTGATGAACAGGAAAAATGTATTTAATTCCATTTAAAATATTGATAACACTGAGCTGCAATATGTGTGTCTATGTCATATAATACTAAATTATTTTTATGTTATTCTGAGACTCAGATCACAGGATGTCTATGGTCTAGTGAAAATGGATTTATCACATTATAAATGCTGCAATGTGAACAAAGAAACTGAAAATTAAGAGCTATCTCTATGACTTTTCATTTATAGTACTCAGAGCAACAACATCAATATAATAGATAATTATCAGGGGACAGAGAGATTGTGCAGTGGGTAGAATGCTTGCTCTTTATCCACCTTGGTTCTCTCCTCAGCTACTCATATGCAACCCCACACCCATCATGAGTGATCCTGATTGCAGAGCCAGCCATAAATCCTGAGCACTGCCAGGGATGGCCCCCCAAACAAAGTAAGTCAATTAATTAGCATAGATATTATGGATTCGGCATCAAATTAGAATTTTAACCTCATTTTTGATGAGTTTTTGTTTTGTAGAATAAGCTAAATTTTGCCAAATATATAAAATTTCCGAAAATGAGAATAAAGTAACCTCCTATCACTTAACTTTACTGGTGTGTTGGGTTTGTCATACATTTCTTGCAAAGTTCTCTGTACTTTTGAAGGAGAACAATGGCATAGCAAAATAAAAATAACTATAAAATAATTATGATATAAATATTAAATAAAATGCAGCACACACAAGGCTGGAGAGATTGTACAGGAATTAAGGTGCTGGCCTTGCACACAGTCAATTCCAGTTGGGTTCTTGGCACCCATGTACCTCCAGGTAAAGGTAAAGGTAAAGGCCCTCCCGTTGATCGTCGATTTGCTCGAGCGGGCCCAGTAACGTCTCCATTGGAGACTTTGTTGTTACTGTGTCTGGCATATCCAATACTCTCGGTAGCTTGCCGGGCTCTCCGAGAGGGGCGGAGGAATCGAACTCGGGTTGGCCATGTTGGCTGCTTGTAAGGCAAACGCCCTACCCGCTGTGCTAGTGACCTCTTATCACAAAACTAGGAATAAACCTTGAATACCACTAATTGTGACCCAATCCCGACAGCAAACACACCAAGTGAATAATATATTTTAGCTAGAGTCACCGTAGAAACATTTTCTTAAATTCAATGTTTTCAATAAAGATGTTTGCCTTAAATGAGTAATCAAGAATTAGTTGAATTTGCCAACTTTTGAGTCATGTAATAAAATGGTTATGAAATTGCTATGATTAGTTTGGACACATACATTGCCATGGAGCTTTCCCCATAATATTTTAGGTTTTGAGCTTCCTGAGCACAGATTCTTTACATACATTTTTCAGTTCCCACTGCTACTGTAGTGATTACCACAAACTAGTCCCATCCATAGAATGTTCCACATCCAAGATGCCTAATTTTATATAAGCATTCACATGTGTTGCTGAAACACTAAAAACTGCTTTTCAGTATTAGAGAATTTTATAAATAATTTTAATTTTAATAATTTTAATAAAAATTTTAACTTTCTATGGAATAAAATAATATTCTCTATTCAACCTGCTCAGTGCATTTTTATATAAAAATCTCTGCTCCATGTGTTAAGTCAGAGGTGTCAAAAAGTGAGATGCTTCTCCATTTCTAATTCAACCCACAAAACAGCAGGTCTTCCTGTTGATTTACCAACTGCATCAGGACAGTTTACTTGCTTCTCTCCAGGAAACTCTAAACCATCTCAGACTTGACCTTTTCTCAGGAATTCAGTCTTGCCTCTACTTTCAAAACAACGGTGCTTGTCAAAATCACTTTAAGGCTTAAAATCTGTTTATCATACATTAATGTAATGATTACTCATCAACTGGCAACAGTAAAATATGCACTATGAAAAATAAATAAAAGACTGGTCTAAGTTTTATTTTCTTTTTTGAGAAATTAAAGAGAAAATAAAAATAACTGCAGTTAGAATTTTTCATAAGGACTTTGGAAAAATTGGGACCAAAATTGAGAATATTTATTTGTCTTTTTAATTTTAAGTTATATATTGTACTGTTTGGAGGAAGAGAATTTATGATACAAAGTATATCATTGTTTTAATATGTGTACAAGAGCAAGGATTATCGTCTTCCCATGATTATGGGAACTTTTCTCAGAGTTCCATTTCTCTTTGTATAACAAAAAGTTTGGGCAAACCATAAAAGAGTAACCATAATAAAATTTTATTTTCAGAAATTCTGCCATTAGGATAAATCAAAATGACATAATTATTTGTGTTTTATTTTACTTATTTATTTTTATAATTCCAGGTATTAATCCCAGGGCCTCAAACATGTTTTCACATGCTCTAATATTGAGCTATATTACTGGCCCCTTTGATAGGATGTTGTAAATTTAGAAGTCACTATAACATATTTTCTGAACAGAATGTTTGGGACATGCTGCTGGATAAAACATGATTTTAAAAATCATGCTTTTTTAAAAATTTTAAAAAATTTTAAAAATTGTTCTGCTTCTATTATTAAACAGTTATGAGACTTTAAGAATCATAATTATTCTGAGTCTTGTTTTATTATCCATAACATAGAAATATTAATTGTATCTTACTAATAATTATGCTTTTAGCAGAAGAAACATAATGTGTAACCTAAAAGTTGGCCACCATTTATTTATTAGTTCAATTCAAACGTATAAATAAATTTTTTTCTACTTCTCTTCTTAGATAAATTAAAAATGAGTAGAAAAGTGATTTCTATATCTAATTCTTATATTTTAAAATCACAAAATTTATTGATGTGATATTTGGGGTGGATATTTTCCACTTTGGGGGCCACACTCAGCTAGGCTTACTCCTGACTCTATGCTTAGCAATGACTCCTGGTGGGGCTTAGGAGCATACGAGGTGATGGGGATCAAAGTGTTAACAATATACAGGACAAAGACCCTATACACTGCACTATCACTCCAACGTCAAATGTAATATTTTTGTAGCAGAAATGCTATAGTTACTAATACACTGCATTATATATAGAAGTACTACATATTAATTCAATGCTCTTTATAAAATGCTACTATGGGCTCATTCTGTACTAGGGGCTAAAATTGACCTTTCAGTATGCAAAGCATATACTCTACATGCTGAATGATTGATCTAATCTGGCACATGTTTAATTTAGGAGATTACAACATTAGGAAAATTTAAAAATAGGTAAATAATTTTACATAGGTAATATAAATTATTTATATTATTCTGTTTGATTAGAACAGAGTACTTTTAACAATATTTTAAAATCAGGAGATAGTATAAAACCATTACTTATTTTAGCTCTTGAATAGTAGTTAAGCTCATGAGTGTTTATATGTTTAAGTATCTAAGTTTCTGTTTTCTTATACACATAAATATAAATTATACTGAAAAATGAAATAACTGTCAAAAATCACTTAATATGAATTCATGTTATAACTCAGTAAATTAAGGATAAGAATAAGGAGAAATCTATATGAAAAGATGTTTCAATAAAAACAAACTTGCACTACATAAAGCTATAGGTAATTATCAAAATGGAGCAGTTATGATACTTAAATCAATCATACAAAATAGCTGTGAGGAAACATATTTGTAGTCCATGTTTTAATAGTTCATTTTTTTTATGCTAAAGACATTCTGAAATAACCTTTATTCTACACACATACATATATACATATACCTATATATGTATGTGTATGTGGACATATATATATCCACACACATACATAAACACACACATATATATGTGTATATATATATATATATATTTAGTGGGCTTATTTAAAGTGAGACCCACTTTTATCCTGTTATCCCTATTTAGTGAAATAGGCTTTGTGATACATGATCAGCGTGGCCATGGGAAGATTGAGTTGCTGCTGCCGCCACCTCTGAAATTCAGTAAATAAAAGTTGGCCATGGTCTATGGATCTTTAAGTCTGGCACCTTTGAAACCAATGCACTCCATTAAATACTCTCCTGTTTTTGCTGCATGCCTTTGATCACAAGTTCAGAAAATGCTCTTTTCAAAGCCATATATTTGGATCTCAGAGCTGGAGTAATATTAGGCTGCATTTTCACTCACAGTTGTTGTAAACTTTGTCATCAACATACTATAATGTAGGTCAGAGTTTTGTGGTAGTTACCTGCTCCAACAACTTTATCAATAGATATGCTGGTGGCATCCAACTCCTTAGCAAACTCGTGAACCGCTTGGGTAGGATCTTCATAGGTATGTGGATCAACATAAGTCCTGAGACCTGGAAGTTTTACTAAGCGGGGAAAAGGCATTACTACATCTATGCTTTTAAAACCTTTGTTGAACAAATGTTACAATTGCTTTTAATTCCCTCGTATTAGCAGCCATAACATCTCTTAATTCTTTTATATCACAAAAATAAGTGAGAGAATTTGAAATCTGCTGAACAATTTTTTACAATAAGTTCCTCAAAATTAAATATAAATAAGAGGCATGCATTTCCCCCCCTGAAAATCACACTTAAAGGAAAATAACATTCAAAATGGGGTGGGTATGTTTCAAGGAAATGGTTCAACATTGTGTAGTCCTAGAAATTAAAATCTCTCTCTCTTTCTCTCTCTCTCTCTCTCTCTCTTTCTCTCTCTCTCCCTCTCTCTCTCCAGTGAGTAGATTATGTCACACTTTCACACTTTTTGTTTGTTTTATTTTGTTTGTTTGGTCTTGGAGAGATTCCCAGAAGCACTCAGGCTTATTCCTGATTCTGAGCTCAGGAATCACTCCTTGCAGTGTTCAGGGATCATATGTGGGTCTGGTCATAGAACTAAGAAATGCTGTATGCAAGGCAAGTGCCTTAACTCCTATTCTGTCTTTCTGACCCCAAACACATTTATGATTCTGCATTAAAACAATTACCAAATATATATTACAATGCAATATGTAACAACGAATCATAAAATATGCTTATAATATGAAATATATTCTATAATTATAATTAGATAAAGCATATAAAATGACATGTCTTCTATTTGACACTATTCTGAATTTACTATCAAAAGTACCCTAATGCCATTCAATATCTATATATTAATCTCCATCTATAGAAAATGTACAGGTATTTTGTCCATACAAATATCATTAAATATCAAAGATATTATATTTACATATCAGTATAACTTAAATCTTAATATAGAGATCTTCAATATACTAAAAGACAAGATAAGTATTCCCAATAAATTTAACAATGATTCCAAGGAGCTGAATTCCAGGAGAATAGTTATAGATTTTTAAATATAAGAAACCTACATGATATTAAATTACTCTAGAGGTAAAAGTTTTCATTATGTTCTATAATAAAAGTAACAAAACATGTATAGAATAATTAGTGTAGATTTTATTTAAAATTTATGAGATGCCTGTGTCTTCGAAAAATAACTCATAAGCAGCTGTTCAGAAAACTTTCTCTAAAAGACAACCAGAAAGACATAAGAGACAGTGCAGAAATGAAGGGACTTGCTTGTCTGTGTCTGGCTCTGGTTCAGTCACAGGCATTATATATGGTTCTCTGAGCATCGTTAGGAGTAGTCACTTAGCACAGAGCTGGACATAAGCACTGAACCCTGTGAGGCTTAATGCCAACCTCCCCACAAATAAAAACTGTTTCTTTCATTAAAAAAGAAAACTCTATTTTTTTAAAAAGAAGTCTAAGATATGTAAAAATATAAAATGTTGTAACATTTGAGGAAACCACAAATATTCACATACGATATTCATTTATTATAAATGTAGTACTATAGGTAATATTGTCAATAATAGAAGGAAGCATATGTACTTACAAAAAGTCTATTTCTTTTTACTTTTATCATGCTATATTATTAAATATTTTTTCCTAAAAATAACAGTCAAGCCTTCTTTGCCAATATCACTTAATAATGAAAGACTATTACAGGAAATTGGCAACTGAAAATTCTGTGTTGGATAATGATACTTTTGATGAGTTTTGTAGTTTGTATAAACTTTGCATAGAGACTAGATATGACAACAATTATCCTTGACTTTTAAAAAGTCCAAGAATTCAGAATTTGAACTAAGAAATGGCATTTTTTAGACTTTTAAGACTGTACATGTCCTGGTTATGCCACATTATAATTATGTACCTGTGATGCTTAATATAATCTATGAACATCAACAAAAAAGGCAAGAGTATTTTTTTCTTTTCCTAATGAAAGAAACTATTTTTCTCTGCTATTTTTTCCTTCTCTGTTGATTTTTGAAATAGAGTAGGAATGAAAGTGTGAAGGAGCAATTGGAGAAAGTAGAGGAATGCCAACACTATCACTTCAATTGAATTTGGTATTGACACTGGTACTTGATACTGTGAAATTGTAGCCTTTCCCCATGTTTACAACAAGTCATTTGAGAAAGCAGCAATGTTAAGATCATCACCAACCCCAGAAATGGGGAAAGGTCTAGATCTTGGTGCTTGCTTTGGGCAAACATTTTGTGGCTTATGAAGTCAGTCCTTGGGAAATTCTGCTTTGAAAAGCTTAGCAAACGAAAATTAGACAGCAACAGAGAAAGTCTGAAAACTTTCTATTCAAATTCCCAGCATGAGTGCCTGCTTTTTAGTTAATAGTCACCATAACTGAATATCATAATTATTAATATTTTTATTCATTGGTAATAAGGTTTGTTCACAGACCTCTTTAAAGTTTCCTGGCAACAGAATTTGGACTCGGACTCCCCTTCCCCTTTTTCTTTGACATAAAGATGACTTTGCATGCTTCACTCTTTGCTAAACATCACTGTAAAACTCATGGTCGGTCCAGTTCATGTATTCCATACTACACTCTCTAGTAGTCGTTACTAGAGGTTATAATTACACGGCAACCTCTGCCAACATTTACTCTTCTAACTCTACTCAAAATAGGCAAATAGCTTTATGAAAGCTATCGTACTTTTTGTTATTTTATTTTTACTCTTTTTGTAGTGATAGAGGTTTACTGCAGTATTTACAGAGAAAAAAAAAGGAAGAAAAAACAGACAAAAAATGGCTACATGGGCATTTAAGGAAAGACACTTAAATAGACACTTAAAAAAAAGTTCATGATCCAAAGCTGCTCTAGAGCCTGGCTTAACTGCTCACCCCTCAGCTGCAGGCATCTGCTGCTCCCTTCACTAGCCTGTCCCAGAATGGTGACTAAATGTTTATCTGGCTCAGTTCATACTTCTTGGCTGCTACTGAAAGCAACTGGGCTCAGCTTGTAGCACAACCTTCAACGCCTCCAGGCTCCTGTGGCTTCCTCGCTCTTGAGGCAGTTCCTACAAACCCAGGGCTCTGTTACCTTTGGGTGCCTTATTCCTGCTGCTTTGATTCTTAAAATCTTGCTGCCACATGGTTTCAGCTATTGTGTAGTTTGCACATGTTGTAGAGCAAGGAAAACAACAAAAGTAACCAAAACCTACTCAAAGACCACAGAAAATAAAATTTTGTCTTACTCTTTTTGCTTGGTAAAATTGATTCATTTTAATAAAGCCACACATCAAACAACCTGTATTTATTTTTGTGATCGTGAGGTAAGAGATCAGCGTTGTAAGAAATCCAGTGTCTTTTTCAAATGAAAAAAAAGTAACACTTTTATATCTAGGTAAAAAGTATCATTTTTCTGGTGTCTTTTCCAAATGAAAAAAAAGTAACACTTTTATATCTAGGTAAAAAGTATCATTTTTCTGGTAAACAGTTATATTTGATTCATCTTACTGAATATAAGGACATTAAGTGGGGAAACAAATGGTCTCAAAAATTACAAAACAGATTATAAGGGTGATTGTCAAGAACAGTGTCACAAATTTTTACTTATGGGTTTTAAAAATGTCTGGAAAGCATGCTTACAATTGTTCTCTAGTATTCATCATTCCTAGAATGCTGTATTGCCAAATAGTCTGAAAATTTAATAAACATTCCTAAATAAAAACAATCAAATTAATCATTCTTATTTAAAATCAAGCAAATTGCACTTCCTGCCACATGACATTTGGGGAAAGGACACACTATAAATACACACAAACACAATAGAATGGCCTGTTTATCGTGGAGTTTTAACTGCTGATTTTTAACTGCTGAGCCAGAGGTTCCAAGAACCAGGTGATTCAGAATTCAAGGCCCATAATCCCTTCACACCAATAATTAAGGGCAGTATAGAGAGTGACTGGGCTCTGTCAAGAAAACCAGATAATAAACACATGCACATGTGTTAAGCTGCACTACTTTACAGTTCATTCTGTGCAAACACAATAATTTACATTTCCATTTTACCAGCATGAGTTGCCCCAAGGAAAGCAAAAAAAGTAAAAAAGGCCAAGCCAGAAAGGGCAAGGGGACAGACTCTCAGGAGGTGAAACACATTTCTTTCCTTTTGAAGCCCTATTATAGGATTTGTAACAAGGCTGGGGGGAATAGTTCATAGTTAGCTTTTAAAAGCAAAACCAAATAAAAGATCTGAAATAAACCAGCTGTAGTACTGAGGTGCAGAAAGTTTATGACATGTATGTAAGTTACTTTTATGTCCATTGTAGCTAGGATAAAAAGAATTCCTCTTTCAAAAAAAATTGTTTGTTTGTTTGTGTAATAGGGATATGTGTGTTTAGGAAAATGAAAGTCTCAATAAACTCTACCACATAAACCAACAGTTAAAGCTAGAGTGACAGAGAACCTAGTAACTATTGCACATAATAATTTATCAGTGCTTCAAATTCATCAGTTTTATTATTGCACGAGGCCAACTCGGCTGACCCAGGATCGATTCCTCTGACCCTCTTGGAGAGCCCGGCAGCTACCGAGAGCATCTCACCCGAAAGGCAAAGCTTGGAAGCTACCCGTGACATTTTCAATATGCCAAACACAGTGACAACAAGTCTCACGATGGAGATGTTACTGGGCCTGCTGGAGCAAATCAATCTATGAGCAACGGGAGGACAGTGACAGTGACAGTGATTATTCCTACATAGAGAACCAAGTCAACATGGTCTTATTCCACATATAGTATTTACATAAATCTTCCAACTCGAATTGAAAGCACAAAAGTAAAATAAATTCTACAGAGATATAACTTCTATCCCTGTAAACTTCTCTCACATAAGCCTGGTGATTATGATTCAGCACTCTGTGGGATCATGGGGACAGGCATCCTATTCTTTGCTTCTACTTAAGTTTGTAATCTCACTAATATGAAAGAAAGAGAAAATGATAACAGAAAAAGAGTACATGGTTGCTTTTGTGAACTGCACCACAGTTACTTTATAATAAAATTTTCAAAATAATCAATGTTCTCTATAAACTCTGCCTCTCTTCCCATCTGATATTCACTCATAGTTTGGAAACATTATTATTGCTATTATCATCATCATTATTTTATCCAGAATATGCCTTCTGACTGTTAGCAACAGGTAACCAAGTTTTCAATGTCAGTTATGACTGAATTATCATTTTCAGATACAAAATCAAAGGTTAGTAAGAACCATATAGATTTGAAAAATACTGAATGTCAAAGAAGTACTTACAACTTGTATTAATTTTAGTGAAATCATGTGAGAACATTTGAGCAGGAGTATATTTTCTCTACTAATATCTATGAGAACATTTTGTTTCCTTTTTCAAACACTGGTTACTAATTGCCATATTAAACTGCATCATATTTTGGAAAATTTAGTGTTTAGTCAGGATGTTTTATTTTGTTATAATGGGAAATAAATCTTTTTTTAGACATAAAAGTTTTATTTCCTAAAAGAGTAATTATCTTAGAACCTATTTAAAAGGGTCTCAATTGATTGTTTTAAAAATAGGAAAGGAGGAAGGAATGCTAGCTTTTCTACCAGTTAGGTATCATGTAACTCCAAAATAAACAGTTTATTCTAAAAGTTCTCTCCTGGTTGGTTGACCAAATGGAGTAAGGCATTTCACATAAACAGAAGTTGTTTATATTTACTTGGCAGTTAGAAACAGGAAAAGGCTCCAATTTAGATTTCAGAAAAGGGCTAGTAATAAGGAAATTGAAGATACGCTTTGCCTTTCAGCCATGCAGAGCTGCAATAGTATATACTCCCCATCACGTGCATTATTTGAGCATAAACCACAGGTTACCCTATGTTAGCTAAACTGTGCTGACATAAAAATGGCTTAATGCAGAATCATAAATTTTCTTCTGTTTAATTTTTTTTAATTTGTTGACTATTCCCCCCCAAAAAAATCACTTTTGAATTTTCTTCATCAGGAGGAGGTTATCCAATTATAAATCAACAGCTGCTAAAACTAAAATAAATAGTTCTACCAAAAGACAAACAAAAACAAGGTGAAAACTTACAATGCCCATTCCCAAAATGAAGTCTTTTATCATCTGTACCATGTTTTGACTTGTTGTAGCCACAGAACCTAGAGGTAAATCAAGAAGAAAAAAAAAAGAAGCCATAAGGAAAATAAACTTAAAACAGTTCTCTATGCTCAGAGTGTACAAAGAGAGAGAGAGGAAAATCATTTTCCTCAATTAAATGCTTTGGTGGAAGTTTAATGACTTCATATTTTCTAAATTCTCTATGGAAATCCTCTTTCTCTGGGGACCCTGGAAAGCTGCCTAATGAGGACACATGCAGAATTGCTTCCCCACTGTGCAAGCCCCTTAGGTTCAGTTTTTATAATGGCCTTAGAATGTGTTTATAGTATTTTTGAAAATGACTGCTGTTAGAATGAATGAAGGGGAAAGTCTCCATTGTGAGCGATTAGTGCTGTGCAGTGTTACCAGTGTTCTGTATGAGAGTGTCAGGGAAATTTGCAGTATATTTGAAGAGTTCGGGGATAATTAGAAGAAAAAAAAAAGTAAGTAAAAAAAAATAGAAGTGATGGTGATGTCAAAAGAGAGAAGTGTTGGAGACCAAAGGCAGAAATTTAATGAAAAGAGGGAAAAATAAAGTTGGAGAACCAGTTAAGAGAGAGAAAATGTAGAAGGATCTAGAAATTGTGTGGGGGCAATCTACTTGTTAAGATGTTTTATTTACCAACCTCTTCAGATTTTAGTAGCAATCAAGGAGAGCAAGCAAAGAAATAATGAAAATAAGTCATAAAGCCAAGTGTGAACTCACCTCCCAATCAAAACGTAAGTTACAACTGTGAGCAGAATTATTGCTACTGCCGCTGAAATGGCTATCATTACCACTTGGCTGTTTTCACTAGAGATGGAGAAAGCTGTGAGGGTGAAGAGAAAAAAATTAAGAAAAGAACAGGCATTAACACATTATACACAGAAGGTCCATTTAATGAAGTCATATTTATTCTGCTCTCACAAACATGAAGCTCGATGTCTGACACAGCGTAAAAAAAGAAAGAGTGATTCAGTTAGTAAGTAAGGTAAAGGCCCTCCCGTTGATCGTCGATTTGCTCGAGCAGGCCCAGTAACGTCTCCATTGGAGACTTTGTTGTTACTGTGTCTGGCATATCGAATACTCTCGGTAGCGTGCTGGGCTCTCCGAGAGGGGCGGAGGAATCGAACTCGGGTCGGCCATGTTGGCCGCGTGCAAGGCAGACGCCCTACCCGCTATGCTATCGCTCCAGCCAGTAAGTATAAAAATAAAAAAGTTTTATTTAGTATGATGAAGTAGTCTTGTTAAATGACAAATCAGACGCGATTTGAGTACTACTCTGTGAAATATGCTTTTCAGTGTCCTCCTTGGCACCAAGAAACTCACTTGATAAACCAAAATCAGTCACAGAACTGGAAATTAGGTAGCGTATCCAAAAATGGGCTTACAAAATCTTCCTAAATATATATATATACACATATTTATACAAATGTATAACTTTAAATATAGAAAGATTTCATGTATATACATTATTTATACAAATATACATAACTAAATATAATGCATATGTAGACAAATATATATGTAACTTTGTATATATGTAAAATTCCAGTATGTTTATTGCTTATTATGCTCTCTATATATTAATTCTTCCGCTCCTTGGTTTTTTTCTAACTTGCAGAGGGTGCTATCATTCTTTCATTTTCCTAGACAAGAAATTTTCCACGAACTTAATATGACCCGCCATTAATTTAGGAGCTTAAAATGACTTTATATTTTTTAATCTTTATAAAAAGTCCGGCAAGCTACTGAGAGTATTCGATATGCCAGACACAGTAACAACAAAGTCTCCAATGGAGATGTTACTGGGCCCGCTCGAGCAAATCGACGATCAACGGGAGGGCCTTTACCTTTACCTATAAAAAGTCATAATAAATAGTGTGGCGGATAAATACATATAAAATGCAAAATTGAGTGACTATAAAAGTATTTTTGAAGCATAGTCACATTCATTTGTATATTATCTATGATACTTTCATGATGGGCTGGAGAGATAGCACAGCGGTAGGGCGTTTGCCTTGCACGCAGCCAACATGGCCGACCCGAGTTCGATTCCTCCGCCCCTCTCGGAGAGCCCGGCAAGCTACCGAGAGTATCTCGCCCGCACGGCAGAGCCTGGCAAGCTACCCGTGATGTATTCAATATGCCAAACACAGTAACAACAAGTCTCACGATGGAGATGTTACTGGGCCCGCTTGAGCAAATCGATGAACAATGGGAGGACCGTGACCGTTACTGTGACTTTCATGATACAGTACTGTAGCTTTGTAGTAGTGAAGAAGGAGATATGTAGACTATTAGCTAACTCTTTATGCAGACACTGTTACTGTTGTTTGACCAAATCCAGTGTTTCTTTAAGTTTAATGGTTATACAGAGTAAGTGATACCTTTTGAAAATTTCTATCACTGAATCTAGATTGGGAGCTGAGATTTTGCAACTGTTTTAAACTTTTAGTGGTATTGATGCTGCTGATTCCAGAGCAAATATGTTGTATTAGGATCATAAATATGAGGTTATCTTCTTCTCTCCTTTTCCTGATCATTCTGTGCAAAGAAATCACTGATTTCTCATAAATCTGTGTTCATGCCTTCATTTCTCATCTGTATTATCACTAGAAATTCTTGAATGCCTCTATGTATGTCTCAACAATCTTTTAACTGACCAGCAGATTATTCATTCTACACCATGAATTTGATCATTTTTATTCTTATGCATAATTTTTTTTTCAGGATTATGCATCATTCAGGATAAAATACAAATTCTGTAGCAGAGCCTGTTAGGATTCTTTTCTTACTGAATATTCTGAAAGTTCCATAAGTGGGGCTGTAGCGATAGTAAAGAGGGTAGGTGCTTGCTTTGCCTGTAACCAATAATGTTCAACATATGGTCTCTTGAACCTTTACAGGTGTGCTCCCTGAGCACAGAGCCAGGAGTAAACTCTGAGTAGCACTGGGTGTGGTCCCCAAACAAACAAAAGAACCGAGTAAAGAAGCATGGCAGATTGGCTCTTAAAACTTTTTAAAGCATTTGAAAAAGAAGACCGATTATGACAGGACAGCGTTTTTATAAACAGCTTTGGAAATCTATTCACTCTATTCAGATGCAGAGTGTCTGCTCTGGACAGCCCTCCCCTCTGCCCAGACAGCTTCCAGTTGCTGCATCTCCATTTGCACAAGGATGCCATATTTGTTACAGTGATTTAAAGCAAGTAGACTGGAGAGAGACCATCTCTAATCAATGCAGGATCTTCTTAGAGACAATATTCATTCTGAGCATCTCCATTCCTTTGAAAAGATCCTTCCATGTGTATACTGCTATATGCTCTTTGTCTTTCTCTCCTCTGCATATATGTTTGACCTGCACCTCAGTATGGGTACTGCTTATTTCTTATTTCTGCATCTCCCCATTTTACCTTTCAAAGGTATTTCTCTTATAAAACCCTTATAATTTCATTTTAATGTCTACTTCCCAGAACAGGACTTAGATTAGTAATTTAAAATAATGATAATTTCCTATTTTTCATTGACTGATATATCTATGAATTGATGTTATTTTAAAATATAACATTTCAACAAAGTTCTCAGAACACAGCATTTAATATGTAAATTTGTCACATTCATTTTTCTCTATAATGACACCTGTCAACCTTTTGTCAGGCCATCTTAATGTCCACTAGTATAGACAACAGAAGAGTAATGTTTCTGCTTACTTGTTCATTAAGATTATGAAAAGAAAGTTCAGTAATTTGAAGAGTATGAAATGTATGTCCCCTATGACCAATACTGTATGTAATATTCAGAGAAATTCTTCAATCCTCAAACTCTTTTGTTCCGTGTGTTTTTTTTTTCTCTTGAAATGTTTGGGAAGTTCAAATTATGCAACATTTCTTTAAATATCACACAACACAGCCACCCTCGTGAGGTGCAATACAATGTTACTACTTCACACTTTACAAAATATAATCAACTTTCTCAACATAAAATTCCAATTGACCTATACACAGTAAAGTTCACAAATTTTCAGTTAGGAGAACACAGTGAGTATGAAATGTCTTGCCAAGGTTATCCTTGGACTACAATTCATTTCTTCTATTACCATATTATACCAACCATTTTCTGGCAAAAAAACCAATCAAAAAAAAAAAAACCACTTCTCTTAATAATCAGCTTTTATCCTCTGAAGGTTTTGATTTCCCAACTTGTACTCTGATTTTAACAGATGTAACTTTTACTCTAATAAGGCCTCTGAGTCCTATTCTCTTTTTTTTTCTATATTTCTTGTTTAATTTTTTTTTCCTCTGGTGGAAACAAAGATGGAGGGTATTGGGCCATACCCTGTGATTCGCAGGGCTCATTATTTGCTCTGTGCTCAGAGGTCACTTCTGGCATGCTGAGGGACCATATATAGTTCTGGGGGTTGAATCAGTTTGCTGCATGTAAGATTGGAGCTCCATTATACTATCTCTGATTCTCTCAGAAGTTTTAAGTCTGAAAAAATTCTATGGTGAAGTAGTTGTTTTAAACTGATCTTTTTTTTCCAAAAGTCAAACTATGCAACTAGATTTTTCAGAGAGTGATTATTTTGAAGTTCATATTTTTCTTTCTATGTACTCATTTCATCTGCTTTGTTGAAATGAGTAGAAGCATGTAAAATATAAAACATATCTGGCAAAAATTCTTTGACCTATTTTTTAATAAAGATTTTAAATCTTGAAACACTAAAATATTAAATGTTTGAGAGTACTAATCACTACCACTGCTATATCTGTGGTAAATCTGGAATCACAGCTCAATTCTGGATTTTTTTTGTTGATTTTTCAATTTTACTTATCTGACTGGGTCAAGTGATAATTAAGAACACAACCATGATTAGACTGATGTTCCAAGTACATATCAACATAATCAATGCTTAGGGCAAAGTGATCACTTTGCCTTCAATATGCCACAGGATATGATACACATTTGCTTATTTTATTTGCTATTTGAGACCCTTCTTGTTAGATTAAATGTAAATTTTGTTGCTGCCATTTCAAATAGTCATTAAAAACTTTTGCTGCTGCCATTTCAAATAGTCATTAAAAACTTTGAAAAAAAGAGAAATCTGTCATAATTTAAAATGAAATAAATTCTTTGTACCACTTAAACATTATAAAATATTTAGAAAAATTTGTGGTTAAATGAAGTTGCATTTCACTTTGCTTTAAATAAAGTTCATATAGATTTCCATGGCATTTTTTCATCTCTTTACCTTCATGTCTTTAGCAAGTGGTTTCTCCATATTTATTGATTCACAAAAAGATTAGGAAATGTTTTGAAAAAACATAGAGTTGTGCGATTAAGAATGGCAGCATTCCATTACTATGATGTTCATGCTTTGGGTGAGAATCAAAGAATTTAGGAAACACTAGGATCCCAATATTATTCAGAAATTACAGGTTGTCATTATGAACAGTAATTCTAATTGTTCTCAAATTTATTCTTAAAATGGGTACCTGATTATATTAAGTATATTTTAATTAGTCCTGGATGTTTATATCCAGTAAGCAAAACTGTGCATAAAATATTAATATTTTATTCTCTCTCTCCTTTTGGGTGCTATGGTTTGCAAAAGAGGAATTGAGTGGCAATCCTGTTTGGTCTATAGTCTACTTTCAGCATGCATCTCCCATCCTGGGCGAGAACAAAAGAAAATGCCCTGCCACAGAGGCAGGGTGAGATAGGGGGATGGGGAGGTGGGAGGGATACTGGGATTAGTGGTGGTGGAGAATAGGCACTGGTGGAGAGATGGGTATTCGATCATTGAATAACTGAAAACCAAGAACAGAAATTTGTAAGTCTACAGCTGTACCTCATGGTGTTTCACTAATAAAAATTTTAAAAAATAGCAAAAAAAATTACTATTTTAATAATACTGAGATTTTATATCATGAACAAGATATTATAAAAAAATTAATGCATTTAGTGACCAGGAAAAATGGCTAATTAGAATAGTCAAAATGTTACTGAAAAATATTTGCTAGTATTAGATCAATCTTTGTCAAATTTGAGGTCAAACAGATGAGAATAAAGTATCTGTAAATGTATGTAAGATTCTAAGTCAAGGTTAAGAAAATCCTTCATCTTCATGTTATACAAAATTGAATGTGTTGGTGATTAAAATAAAATTAATATGATTACGCATGAGCAGGATTATTTTTGTAGTTCACCTAACCAGAAAATGAAGTCAGTATGTCTATGCTAATAGTTTATCATCATATCAACTAATTTTCCTGAAAAAATAATTTATGGCTTGTAGAGAACCTGAAATTCTGGGCATTAGAATATACTTGAATTTTTTCTTTTTTTATAATTTTTTTTATTCTTTTATTTTATTAAAGTATTCATGATTTACAGAGTTATTCATAGTTGGATTTTAGACATATTATGTTCCAGCACCAATCCCACAATTAGTGTCTTCTTCCCTCCATCAGGGTTCCCAGATTCCCTCCCAAACCAACCTACCCCCATCCCTGCCTGTCACCTTGGCAGGCATACTTTTAAGTTTGGTTGTTGAAGTTTGATCTCTTGTTTAAAGCGTTGTTGTCTTTGTGGCTGTATATGTTTAGCTATAACACTCCTAACTCCACCAATGTACTCTGATCCTCTTGACTCCTATTCTCCATTTCTTCCTATTTCTTTCTTTTCCTTTTAATTTTTTTTTCATCTCTATCTTTGTCTGCTTTGGTCCAAGGGCGATCTAGACACTTACCCCTTAGAATAAACTTAAATTATTAAAGAGAAAAATATTAAAACTGGTGCACACAGAAGCACATACACATGGACAAGTGCTATACAAACTGTCAATTGTCCCAAGTATACACTTAAAGTATTATGCTTAGCTAAGACTTGGAAGAGACCAAAAATAGATTATCAAACAGTTTTTGCAAAAACCCTCTCCCTTACAATGAAATAATACGTACAGTCTGGGCTAGTTTCAAACTCAAACTTTCGACTGTTGGTCCCATATCCAGCTGCTGTTCGAGCTCGAATTTGGAATACATATGTGGTATCGGGTTTGAGGCTACTGATGGTGACATTAGTACTTCTTGCCCTCAGGATGGTATAACTCGTCTCTTGCTCCTGCTTTGAGGTAAGAAAAGTCATGTTAAAAGCAAATCTTAACTATGCTATCAAATAATCAAAGAGTGATCAACACAAAGTCAACTCAATTAAACATATAAGACTACTAAAACTGTAACAGTAATTTCACTCCTTAAATATAATAGTGATATTATATTTATATAGTGATAGTATAGCAGGTTGGGCCTTTCCCTTGTATGGAGCTGACGGGGGGGGGGGGGGTATATATCCCTTGCATCCCCTATGGTCCCCTGAGGACTAACAGAAGTCCTAAGCACAGAACTAACAGTTAGCATTATTGGGTATGACCAAATAAATATATGTGTGTGCAATATATACATAAATAAAATAATTAAAACAGTGTCTTTTGTAGCCTAAAATATTTATTGTACCATAATAATATAAAAATAAACTGCTTTAATAAGTTTATCTTTTATTTAAAATTCACTTCAAAATACTTTGCAAACTGTAGCAGGCACATGAGTATACTGTGTTCATATTAGTAATTATAAAACCAACAGATCTAATGAGAAACGAACAAAACTAAAAATATCTTTTATATTTATGCCTAGCTTTAATGTACAACTAGAAACAAATAAGCACAACTTAATAAATTAAATATCATTAAATTAATACTTATAAAATCCCTTGTGTCTATTTTTATTATTGAATTACCAAAATAAAATTTTATGACGAGGCAAACTTATGTACTCTCTCTCTCATTTCAATGTTTCCTTTGACAAAATCAAAATAGCATCTTATCAGTTTGATAATACAATGATTCTCCTGTTTAGTTCAATGTTCTGTACTGAATAAACTTCCTGTGAAATATGAAGGTCTAGAAATAAGTTTTAAAGCAATTAACTAATAAAAACATCATCAATAAATTTGGGGAATAGTATAAAATAGTTGGCAGAGCAGTAGCAGCATCAAATGTAGAAGAACATGAATATAATCTTTAATGCCATAATTGGGCTAGAGCGATAGCACAGGGGTAGGGCGTTTGCCTTGCATGCAGCCAACATAGCCGACCTGAGTTCGATTCCTCCACCCCTCTTGGAGAGCCGGGCAAGCTACCGAGAGGATCTGGCCCGCATGGCAGAGCCTGGCAAGCTACCCGTGACATATTCGATATGCCAAACAGTAACAACAAGTCTCATGATGGAGACATTACTGGACCCCCTAGAGCAAATCGATAAACAACTGGAAGACCGTGACCGTGACCTGCTGTACTATCACTCCAGCCCCTATATTAAGATTTTTTAAACCCTTCTTCATACCTAAAAATAAAAACATTATGAGCATTCAAAGCAATTCCACTACTTACTGGTTTTGAACTGCTATTTCTAGTTTTAGCTCGTTGACTTCTTTGTAAGAGCACAGTGTTTGAGACAGAATCTCCCTCCCTACACCCCAGCTCTTAAACATCTAATATTATCTCCCCACCTTTTCATAGTATTTGACCTCGTAGTCCAATATAATCCCATTTGGGTGTTCAGGTTCTTGCCAGGATAAAGAGATACTGTTTCTGGATGTTCGATCCTTCTTAATTGTCATGACTGGTGATGGAGCTGTCAAGAGAGAATGAGAGAGGATGATGGGAAGAAGCAAATTAACCAGGTAGGGAGATGGCAAAATGAGCAAAGAAAGAAGGGGACAAGCAAATGGAGTTTATCATCATTCTAGCCTTTGGCAAGCAGGTATTATTTCCATTTCAAAGGCTCTTGAGTATTAATCTGGCCCCATATCAACTCTCAGCAGCTGGATTATAGCCCTGGTACATACAAGGCTGATGGAAAATGAGCTGAGATTTTCAACTGCTGGAGGACTAGTGGCAAGTGAGCAGATGTTTTCAATCTGCTACCATAATGTAAGCAATGAAATATATTTGATATATTCTTAAAAGAACAAAACATCAGCACTACCTATTTGTTATAATGTTGCAATGTTATTAATGCCAGATTCTTCAGCTCCTTGATAACATTTTCATATGCAGCTCAGTATGAGAACTGGAATCCATTATGCACAGAGTCCCTTGATATTTTTAGGTAATAATAACAGAGCATTGTGAAATAGATAGGACTTAGGACATATTATGGTAGGTCTTAACTTCTGACAAAAATGAATTCATAAATAAAAAGTAGGTTAGGAAACAACACATTCTGCTTTAACATTTTGATTTCTTTGTTTTTGTTTGGAGTCTATACGCAGCTGTGCTTGGGGAACTATTTCAGGTTCTGTATTTGGATTTATTCCCAGTATTGACCAGAGAACTGTGTAGTGATGGGATCAAACCTGAGACATCTATAAGCAAAGATAAGCTTAGCTCCATAAACTATCTTTCTAACCCCACATGTAAGCATTTATTTTTCAGTATTTTATGGAACAAGGTGTCAGTAAATAAACTGTCACAACTATCTAGGTACATCACAGTGGATGGTGATTCTATATTTGTTATTAAGACAAGATTAATAAAAGCATGCAATAAGAAAATAATTTGTATTTGATACCATTATGTCACCTTCATTTCTATGAAGAGTAAATATGTTTCAAGTTAAATACTATGTTAAATCTTGCTAAAAACAAAAATGCATGCACTTTGTCAATGGACTCCTAGTTTTTTGTTGTTGTTTGCTTTACTTTACCCTTTTAAATAGTTTTTATTAAGTGTGCAAGAACAATTCAACAGAGAGATAGTACTGGAGCAATTGGAACAATTCAACATACACAGAGAAAATAAAAAAGAAATACCTTTCACCTAAATCTTATACTTTATACAAAAATGAACTCAAAATGCTTCCTAAACATAAATGTAAAACACAAAAAAACTTTAAAAATTGTGCTTCTAGTTTCAAATCAAACTCCAGACAATTTTGATGAACCAAAACATCTTGCTCTGGGGTTCATTGACATTCTGCCCCAATGCAATTCAGCAAAACAAACTACAAAACATGAAATATGCCAAAATTTTAAAAATATAATTAGGTATAATAATTGATTGATTTCCTTGATAAAAAATAGCACTGTAGTACTGTCTTCCCTTTTTCCTCGAGCAGGCACCAGTAACATCTCTATTGTGAGACTTGTTTGTTACTGTTTTTTTTTGGAATATCGAATACCCCCATATTCCCAGGGAGCTTGCCAGGCTCTGCAATGTGGGCAGGATATTCTTGGTAGCTTGCAGGGCTCTCTAAGAAGGGTGGAGGAATTGAACCAAGGTTGGCCACGTGCAAGGCAAATAAATCATCTATTTTTTATTAGATTATTCTCAAAGCATAGACTAACAAATCCTGTGTGTATGCATTTTCCACAAAAAGGAGCTAAAATTTCTTATTTGTTGATTGGATGGATATTTCTTTAATTAAGACATGATGACAGGGCTGGAGCAATAGCATTGCGGGTAGGGCGTTTGCCTTGCACGTTGCCCACTCAGGTTCAATTCCCAGCATCCCATACGGTCCCCTGAGCATCATCAGGGGTAATTGCTGAGTGCAAAGCCAGGAGTAACCTCCGTACATTGCCGGGTGTGACCTAATTAGAAAAAAAAAAGCATGATGACTTTGAGGGATAGAGAGAGAATATAGCAGGTTGGATGCTTGCCCTGAGTTCCCTTCCTCCAAGTTTCATCCCAAGCATTCCATATGGTCCCTTGAGCGCTGCCAGGAATAATTCCCTAGTATAGACACAGGAGAACCCCTGAGAATTATTGGTTGAGGCCCCCAAAACAAATATCTGAATGAATTGGTAAAGACACAGTGCTTAGTTATAAACAACTAGTATGTGAATCTTAATTTATTTTTTGCTTATCTAAATACTTGAAAAAAATATACTTACTATCTAATCCTAGTAAAACACAATTGTAGTTCCAATGTCTTTAAAAACAATTTTTTATACTCTGTACAAAAATCCCATAAATTCCATTAATTTTCTGCAGAAGCTTCATTCCTAGAACAATTTTCGTATTGTAGTTAAAATTGTTAAAAACATTTTTTGAAGAATTTCAAAGAAGCTTAATTTTGCATTGCTTCCCTAGCAAACATATGGAGACTCTGCATTCACTGCATATTATTGTGAAGCTGGTTAATTTCTATCAGTGAAAATATATTTTAACTTCATGCCACTTGGAGGGGTTGAGGGATAACACAGGGATGAGGCTACCATTATGGTGGAGGAGAGTTTTTCATCCAGGAGAAGGAAGGGGGTATTCTGCAAGCTCCTCTCATAGAGGCAAACAGGTGGGTGGGAGGCAAACAGGGAAGAGGGGATAGCAATGGGGGAGGGGAGAGGACACTGGTGAAGAAGATGGGTGACAAAACATCGAATGAACCCAATAATAAGTAACTTGTAATTGCAGTGACTGAATAAAATTTAAAACAATAAAATGAGATAAAATATACTTTTAGAGAAATTTTAGAAAATGCCAGTTTTAGTAACAACAAGTCTCACAATGAAGATGCTACTGGGCCCGCTCAAGCAAATTTTGAAGTTATGAAATTCTTCAGAGTTCTTTAAGCAAGCTGTAAGACCCTGTTGGACTGTAATAAATAGCCTTTTGTAATTCCACACTTACTTAAGTAGAGGCAATTGCTCGAAGCTTGTGCCATCTCTAAGTTAAATTAACCTTTTCTGATTGCTGCTTTTAGACCCATGTTAAGTCATTTGTTCTGCCCTTTTTAATACACGCCCCTTGTGTTGGCTGTATTTCAGCAGTTTCAATCCAGTGCACCAGCTGTGATCCAGTTACATTTACGTAATGCTCATTAATATTTTAATATTAATAAATAATTAACATAAATTGTTTTCCAGTACCCTAATAAATAATTTTAAGACATTATAAAGCATACTGCCAAAGGAGACAAATATCTTGGGCACTCCACTGTATCGATGCTACTAAAAGAATATCAGAACATGTTTTAATTCATCTTAGAGTATAACTTATTTGAACTTCCTCAAGTGCTGTAATGTAATTCATAAAATTAATGGGAAACAGTGAAATGTATTAGATCCTTTTAGATTATTTCAGGTATCAAAAAATAAACAAATTGAAGCATTATTTTCCAAATGCATACAAGTTATTTAAACATATTTGTCTAAATAAATGAACATGAGATTGAAAACTGTATCATAATATATGTGTATATTTACTCTCATTTTGCATGTTTAAAAATTTGCGATTTCAGAGATTGTTTTATGGAATATATACACAACTACGGAACTGCTAAGAGCTACAGTTAGATTTACAAAGTTTGAAGATGTAGATTTCCCCAAGTAAAATACAATATTTAAACTAAATTAGTGAATGTTGTTGAACAACCTCCCACTATCTCAGGATTTTAATCTGATACCTTTTTATACACAAACCATGATGGATTGCTAACATGCTTCCCTTATTAACAGGAAAAAGTTGATTAATGACTAAGTAGTCATCTGTGAAACTTATGTTGCTGGTCAGTTAGATAATGAGCCAGCTTCGCATAAAAAATTATAAATCAATAAAAAATAAAACAAAAAGGTAAAAATATTATTATGGAGAATCACCCTTAACTTTTGCTATTTTGTGATGTGTCCATTGGAAAAGTAAGCTTAAAATATTAAATATATGGAACTGTAAAATGATTAATTGAAACATTTCTTTTAAATAATATAGGCAAGTAGGTGTTCTTCTCCCTTGAATAGATCTGCTTACTTATTTCTCTGTTTCTTTGCTTGCCTAGTTCCACACTGGAGAAGTCTGTGTTCTCCCTTGAACACGAATTTCTCCCTCTCTCTCCCCTCACATCTTTCCAAATAAGTTTCAACAAAAAATTCTTGCTTGCCAAAGGTGATTAATTTATTAAAATAATATAAACATGTGAGAAAATGATGGTTGTGAGAGAAAAGGAGGCTATTTGAATCACACAATTAATCATTCTTTATGAACTCACATTATGTCATTGAGACATACTGAACACTCCTTGTTTGTTAACATGCATTTGTTTCAGACCCTTGTAAGCAATTCTTTATCGGTTTTCTTTGACTATGATTGTAGAAAAATATTTTCATTCTATATCTAATAATATGTGCTTTATGAAAGCTGGTGCCAAAAAATCTCTTCAGATTTTTTTCTAAAAAGACACAACTTTCTGGAAACTGAGAGTTGAACAATTAGCTTTTATTTTTTCTTTTCTAGTTCTAGGTCATTATAATTACACTCTCTTGACTCATGCAATGAATAGTCCAGAAAAACAAATAAAAAATCCTGTAATGTTTGCAGATTAATTTCAGTCTTTTATTTGCAGACATGAGAAATACTTTTTCCATTTCTCAATGTAACCTGAGTCATTGATTGCATCTAAGAAAATAACAGAAAAGCAAGTCATAATGGGAAAGCCAAAAGGTTAAGTTTAAAAGGTTTCCATGCAAAAGGATCAAATTAATAAAGGAAGGTATATAGTACACAATTCATATTTGTACCCCTTTTGACTCTTCTGCACACCAAATATACTGATCAACATGAAAAGTATTCAATATATAAATGATCATGATTTTAATCGATGCTTACTATTACTCTGCAAAATGCTAACCCTTCCTT